GCCGTGTAAAATTAAATGCTCTGTTTCAGGGTGCCATACTTGGAAATCGTGAGGGAGAGAGGGGGGGAAGGAGGAAAGCAGTAATTTGTGTCTGTTTGTGTGTAACTGATTTGAGTCTTACCTTTTGTTTCCTTTTCGTATTGCGTATTTTGTATTGTTTTGCGTATCTGTAACTGTGTTTGTGAGTGTGAGAATTTTAAAAGAATATTTTGTCTGCACATGATTTTAAATAATAAAATAGCCCTCCATCAGTACATCAGTCATTTTTCTTTTGATTACTGAAATGTTTAACCACTAATCCTTAGCCGTATTTTAAGTGTAACCCTTCACCATAACATACCACTAGTGTGTTTATCAGTAAAAATAGAACATTTTTCACACATAAAAAGCACAAAGATGTTGAAATCTAGGCATATTCTGCCTTCATAACTTTGCTCTCAGAATTCACCAGATTGATGCCTTTAAACCAAATATACATTTTTCTCCTGGGGGAGCATGCCCCCGGACCCCCCTACAGGGTTCGGAACTGATGTTCTGTGTGAGATGTGTGCCTGGGATTGCAGATGGAATGTGGGTTCTGTTGGTGCCTCCTCGACCTCCCTCTGTGGTAATTTATTGACCTTAAGGAGAAACAAAAGCCAATTAGAGTTGAGTAGTATTTGTCAATCACTGTAGCAGGAAGTTTCTTGTCTTAAAAATGCTCTCTGCAACAGCGGAGAAAGGTAGTTGATTGTTGAGTCCAACTACCAACCCAAAGCATCTGTATTTGCTGAGCTGAGAATGAGTGTTTTATTTAATAATCATGAAAATGAATCAGTAGCAACAGTGTGTGTTCTCCTGTGGTGATAAGATGCAAAACATAGCCACATACGTAGTGCACATCTGGCAGGCTTTTCTGTGAAATTAGCATTAAAAGCCTTCAGACAGCGGAAATATCAGAGAATATCCTGCACCACGTGTGCTGCTGTGCACAAGCCTCTGCAGCAGTGTGGAGGAGGAGGAGGAGGCGGCGGCGAGATGAAGACCCATGGGTGAGATAAAAGAGACAGCACACAAATACACAACCGACAGATGTTGCTACACATGTTGCAATACACACACACTGAAACACAGTGTGTTATCACAAAATCTATATGAAATATGGAAAAATAAAGCACCCTATAAACCACAATGCTGATGAGAAATGTAACAGTGAGGTCACTGGAAGGAGCTGATAACTTCTTGATGAGAAGAGTCAGATGATAGCAAAGCTTTCCAATATTATGACTGAGGCGGAGGAGATATTCTGAGCAGCACTAGCATGAAACCAAACAGCTGCTGGAGGATTCAGTGTAGGGTTTCCAGGAAAAACTCATACACAGCATAAACAAAGTGTAACTATGTTGTCGTGACAAGTTTTGTCAACAACATGGGCTTCAGCATGAATGAAATTTTCCAGAAATCATGAAATGGTTTGATAAGGTCTGAACTCCTACAACAATAAAACATCAGCATGCAGAGAGCAGGGAGTGTTCCAGGAAAAACTGAGGAGGATAAATACAGGATAAATTACAATCACAGCTTGGTTCACTTACAACAAAAAGCACTATTGTTATTATTCATTCCTGCAGGCTCTAAGTATTTACTGTCCTCAGCAGGGAAAAAGGATTTCCACTGCAGTCTGAAGCCAGAACTGACTGTTGGATTGTCCACACCTATTGTAGATATCATCATGTCTGGACAAACATCAGTGTGTCGATGAGAAACAGAAAAGACGTCACTGTTTAAACTCAGCATAAGAGGTCCTGCTGTGCTCATTTCAAGGTTCATACTTGTATGTAGGGTATCTACTATGTAGTTCAAATAACTCAAAGTTTTACACTGGAAATGAGGTTAAAGCTCTGTGTTTGTTTGACCCATCCACCTCCTCTCCCTCCCTCACTCCCTATGCTCACTTTCCTGCTCTTTATAGTATGTCAGTTGCTTGGAGCTTTGAATAATGACGCAGCCCAGTGCATCTCATGCAGATGCTGAGGGGTTCCTAGATGTGCTGGTACACCAAGGGCCACTGACCAAGAGTCAGTATTTGACTAGTTTTGAGTAAGAACGTAATGTACTGGCCATTCATGGCACAGTGAGGTGGGAATAGGCGAAACACAGTTTAGGAAAACAAAAAGTGCCCCACGACCTGAGGTAAATCACTTCCTTTAGGGTCCCCAGATGTGAAGTAAGTCACTTCCTGTAGGATCCCCAGATGTGAGGCAAGTCACCTCCTTTAGGGTCCCCAGATGTGAGGTAAGTCACTTCCTTCTCTATAAAAGTATGAAAGCAAAAAGCTACACATACAAACACATGGTGTGTATCCCTGAGGTCTAACAAGTATTGTTAAGTATTTTAAATCTTGTATTGTTTACATCCACGATTACATGCTAGCAGCGTCATCTTCCCTGCCTTTGCTGGCATACTGAAGTATATCTTGGCGTGTTACCACCACCTGTAGATCAGTGGAATAGTGGAAAAAACTGTCAAGACTGTGTATCGCATCCATGGATGTACATATCACAGACCTGGTTACAGTGTTCAAAGATGGCGCTCCATTTATTTCTTTTCAGACTTTGTGGGCACACACACTGCGAAAACCTCATACGCTTCCTCATGCTACCACATTTTTGGGGTCAAGAAGTAAACACTTCTGACTAGTGCTAAAAATGTGTGGTAAGCATTAACATCTGAGGGAGGAAAGTGACATTTCCCGGGCTAATGAGGGCACTACAGTGATGTATTACAATTAGAACTCTACACTTTTAGTTTTAAAATTAGTCTTTAATTTTGTGAAAGTCTTTGCAAGTCCAAGAATAACCTATCTTTGTCAGCCAGGGGCTTGTTTCACCAAGTTTGCAGCATGCAAGTTATAATTTTCAACATGAAATCATTTCTCTCTTCTAGCATTTTGGCATGGTGCACTTATAACAAACATCAGATAAGGTGTCCATGCATGAACATGTCACAGCCCTGAACTTTCTAACTGCAGGTATCCTTGTGTTAAATTTGTTGGAATATACTAATGTTAAGAGAGTTTCTCTCTACTGTGGGCCAGGCTGCTATTTTGACATTTCTAACCTTGGACCACCAACATTAGCACCGTGTTCGCACACTTCCACAATTTGCAACACTAAATGGAAGATTATCACAATCAGTTTTGAGAACTGGTCCTGAGAAAAGCAGTTCTTGCAACCACATTTCTTACACAAGTGTTTCACCATCACTCTTGCTGTTCATCAAAGAGAAACTAAAGAAAAGGAGCCTAAAACCCATGCTGACATGGGGAGAACATGCAAACTCCGCACAGATGGGCTCCCCCACCCCTGGGGTTCAAAGCCCCCATGCTGGGTTTAAACCAGGAACCCACTTGTTGTGAGGTGGTAATGCTAACTGCTGCATCACCGTGCCACCTTAAACAAAATAAGTTCAATGAACATTTTGCAAATTCACATTCTCAATATGTTCTATAGTTATAGTAATTCTGGATGACATCCAAGCTGTGCATCCTAAAAATGAAACTGAAACTGTACAGTTGCAACACCAGCATTTGTGTACAGAACAGCAGTGACTTTCAGACACACCACAATTATGGGAAAGTACAAACAAATCAACTGTTCATGGGGCATCATTCTTATTCACCCCCTCAGTGTCTGATTCAAATAAATTTTGCTTAGGTTTTACTACAAGTCTCAAGACCAGTGATACTCAACTTGCGGCCTGTGGGCCAAATCTGGCCTGTGACAGGATGCATGGTGGCTCGCTGACCATTTTCTAATTCACAGAGAAAATCAACTGATTCACACTGGGGATTTTTTGTAGGTTGAATAAGGTGCCAGAGTGCATTAAAACCCCTTCAAAAAGAGGTTGTTTATTAAAAAATGTGCCAGGGGAGGGTCTGTGGTCCAGGCTAAGCCCTGAATGTCCTCAAATTCTAGAAATGCCCCTGTGTTCACCTGAACATGGCTGCTGCGACGGAATTTGCCTTGTTTGTTCATTTTATCTGATAAATATCAGTTTGTTTATTAAGTGGCCCCTGGCCTCCTGTCATTTTGCAAAAATGGTCCCCAGGCTAAACAAATTCAGTATCCCTGCTCTAGCCTGCACACTGCCACACAATACACAATAAGAAAGCATCCACCAAGTCTTGAGAAATGCCAGTGTTATCATTATAGGTTCATTTTATTGGTTTTGAAGGTATTATCACAATTAGGGAGAAAATTACTGGATTTCTGAGGATACACACATTAATAAATCAGAATAGTTTTAAAAGGGCTAGAAGCAATTGTCATAGTTTTACTTTTGATGAGGTCATGTTGCAAATGCCTCCTCACTGACAATTTGAACAGTTTAAATCTTAAGTGAGAACTAAAATGGTTTGGTAAATCTAACACCACCTGGAAAAGAACAGTTAATGTAATTTTATGTGTGCTAGATCATTGGCTCCCAACTGGTGGGTGGCAGTCCAAAAGTGGGTCACAGGGCCATTTTTAATGGACTGCAAGTGACAATGAGACGTGTAAAGTTTGTAAAGAAAAAAAACAAAACACTTTATTTTGAAGTACAGTAAATGTCTGGCACAGAGCTTTTATTTTGAAGTGCCGTTTCCTGCTGTAGAGTGAGTGACTAATGGATAGCTTCTTGACAGACAGCAGACTAGCTCAATGACATGACCAAACGCATGTATGATGCTGAATGTATTAAACTGTGTGGACCTTGAACTAATGAGTAAAGACAAGTCTGGACCCAGACCCTGTGTTAGTGTGTTAGATAACTTTTAAAGCATTTTGCCCTGTATTTTTAGGCTTACAGAGCCACTCAGTGCACTACAATATTAAACTATACAGCCTGATAATATGCGACACAGATGTCTGGTGCATGATTCAGATGCTATAGCATTTTCTGTGACCCATCAGATTCTGAAACCATATTCAGAAGTTATGTTTGTGTCTCCTTGGGTTTGGTCAAGTAAAACCAGTCTGTTGAAACATTAAAACTTTTATTATGTTTTCATTTAATTACATATAAAGCAGATTTCTTCAAATTAAACTCCAGTGAGTCTTTGCAGGCTGATCTTTTTTCACCTCAGGTAGTGGCACTCCACTCCGATGACAGCACTCTGGCTCCTTATGATGTGACTTCTGCCAGACACTTTGGGGTTGTAGACCAGTGCAAAGGCATAAATGAAAGCATTCTCTGTCATCTAAGAAGAAAAGAACATCTGATTAAGATTACTTGACAGAAGTGGAATATCAGTGCATTATGAATAAAAATCTCATACCACTAGTATGCTGTCACAGCTGTGCAGTTCACATTCAAAGATCAGCACATGAGACAAGTTGTCAATCTCAGTGGCTGAATGGCCACCAAGAGTGATTTCCTCTGGCTTTATCAGCTTGCCCAGGCCCAGCAGGTCCTGGCTCACCTCCACGTGGATCTTATTTTCCCCACACCTCACAGCAACACGGTTGTCCGTTGCCCGCTGCCGCAGATCAAACTTGACAGGGGGCTTGTTAACTGAATCCACTGGTTCCTCTGGAAACTTCCAGGAGAGTGGTTCGACTGCATGCTGGATCTGATCTGCCTGGAGCATGCCAGCTTGTTGAGCAGAATCCCTGGAGTGCTCTCTCTCAGGTTCTGCTGGTGGCTTGACTTCCACATCATCTCTCCAGTAGGTTGGCACTGTGATACTTAAAAATCGAGTGTCACTAAGCTCGACACATGCAAGCACAAAGCCAAACACAATAAGCTGCATGGACCCCATTGTTGCACACAGAAACACAGAATGTTCTATGCAGCTTTCTTAAGCACAATCACTGAAGCAGACAAAGGAAGAGACTCCTCCCTCTGCCTAATTAGCGGGATCCCTTTGCACATGTGTGGATCTCACAGATCTCACAGCTGCACATTCTTACTAATTGCTCTGTCTATTAGCTGTGCAATGGCTGTATGATGCTGTATGAAGTATCCAGAATTAATCCACAGGTGCTCCACATATTACAGACAGTAGCTGGGTTTCCATCCAAATGTATTGCAAATTTTAAGCGAATTTTGTGAAAATGCGCAAAAGAAAATACGAATTTATGCACATTTCCATTCATTATTGTTTTGCGAGTATTGGGAGTCAACAGGTCAAGCAGAAGGTGGTGCTTCTCATGAAAAATAAAAATGCAAAAGAACACCTGTAGAAGAAGAGGGCGCCGTGAGATGACGTCATTGTGAGCGTCTCATGTCCACAACTGATGTAAACAGTTACTGGCACATCCATGACTACGACGAGATGGAGAGATTCCTTGGGAACTTCTTGGCTATTGCGAGAGCTCTCATCACACTCATATCAGCGTTGTCAGCGTAGCCTACATAATGCCGTGATGTCTGTGTTGGTACACCAGGCAGCGCACATGATGCAGCGATATTCAACACATCCAGTCTATTCAGGTAAGTTGTGAAATAGCCTACACTCACCTGACACTGGAGTAATTACCTCTCTCTAAGTTTACACAGGTGTGTGTGTGTGAAGTAGAAGTAGGATTCGGTAGCCTACGTCATTGTTTATTCGCTAAATCTGTTTCCATTGCCAAAAGTCGCATTTTCCTAATGTCGATACGCTGACTTTTCCACCCCCTCCAAGCGTAAAAACTTTTTTGCGATATTTCGGCCTTTTTTCGAATTTCTGGCATTTCCATTCAAGTTTTTTTTTTCACAATTGTTGAAAATGCGAATAAAAATAGGTGGATGGAAACCCGACTAGTGTTTCATTTATTTCAAGAGATGCTATGGAAGAATACATATCTGAGGACAAACTGAGTGGCACTTGTACAACCATATGTGTTGATGCCTAATGGACATTAATTTATGCAAACTCTATGGTGGCCCTGATGGTCAAAAACACAACATTTGATATTTTACAAAATTTTAGAAAACACAACATTTCAGAAAACCCAATGAAATGTCACAGAACAAACAAACAAACGAACAAAATATTTTACAAAACACCACAGCAAAAGAGAAAGTACAATGGTGTCTTTTGTGACTCAAGTACCAATCAGCAACCTCCAGGGCTGGAAAATGACATTGCAAACATTAAAAAAATGAATCCAACATTAAAAAATGCAGCCAACATTTAGTGGCAAAAACTGCACTTCTGTCAATCCCCATAGACCCCCATGTTAAAATGCCCAACTTTACAGCAGAAATATGTTTACAGCCTGGTACATAAAATGGTTTGGTCCCTATAGGTCCTAATTTCGAGGATTCAAAATGGAAGTTCACAAACCAATGGGTGACATCACTGCAACTGCATCCATTATTTTTTACAGTCTATGGTAAGTACATATTGTACAATAGTTCCTTGTCACTGATTGGATGTGCTGTCTGTCAGTCTTCAACAAATGGAAGAACTTTTTCTTCTTTTAGATTTGCAGTAGCCTGGATGCCCTGCGGCATATTTTGAGATAAAATAAAACTTTATTTATCCCAAGGGAAATTGCTGTATGGCAGTTGAAATACAAGGTGGGAAGAGTACAAATAGTGAAAGTATCTCACACACACACACACACACACACACACACACACACACACATGTAATATGTATACAAATCTATATGTGTGTTTGTGTGTGTGTGTGTGTGTGTGTTGCTTTTTAGAATGTATCATTTCATTATGGCAGTGTTGATCTTGTACTTCGTCCTCTATCCTGCTTCTGTGTCTCTGTTCAGACTGTGCTGAGCATGAGGCAGGCTGCTCTCTTGTTTTCTTCATTTATCTTTGTAAATGACACTTTTAGGACGCCTGAAGTAACACCACATCTCAAAGTCGGAGAGGTGAGCGGTTACCATAGCAACAGTACCTAAGTAATGAAAAATGCCTGTCATTCACAGGTGTTGTGAGGATGCTGGGATTTACTTGAGGATGAAACATATGAAGGTAGAGAGAGTCACTATGTTTTCTTAACATTTTCAAGAGTTCCTGTTGTTGGAGCACAAGATATGAGTACATCTGCTCCCATACAAAATGGGAAATTATTCACCTTTCAAGACTGTCCATATGGAACTACAAAGTGGCCAATATTTAATAAATAAATTACACATTATAAAATACATAACAATTATTCAGTTTCCCATACAAGCCCATTAGTTAGTGTATACAGTACAAGCTCCATTCATTTTAAGTATTGCTGTATTGCACACTGATCAACTATGAGAAATGTCACTGTGATGATACGCCCAATTCATAGTTTTCATAGTTACATAAGGTGTATTTGTAACGCAGCATATATATATATATATATATATATATATATACAGTACAGGCCAAAAGTTTGGACACACCTTCTCATTCAATGCGTTTTCTTTATTTTCATGACTATTTACATTGTAGATTCTCACTGAAGGCATCAAAACTATGAATGAACACATGTGGAGTTATGTACTTAACAAAAAAAGGTGAAATAACTGAAAACATGTTTTATATTCTAGTTTCTTCAAAATAGCCACCCTTTGCTCTGATTACTGCTTTGCACACTCTTGGCATTCTCTCCATGAGCTTCAAGAGGTAGTCACCTGAAATGGTTT